ACTATTGATTGGACAAAGTCATATCAAATCAGACATTGATTGGACAAAGTCATATCAAATCAGACATTGATTGGACAAAGTCATATCAAATCTGATTTTTGATTGGACAAAATCATATCAAATCTGAATATTGATTGGACAAAGTCATTACAAATCTGACTATTGATTAGACAAAGTCATATCAAATCATACTATTGATTGGACAAAGTCATATCAAATCTGATTATTGATTGGACAAAGTCATATCAAATAAGACTATTGATTGGACAAAGTCATATCAAATCAGACTATTGATTGGACAAAGTCAAATCAAATAAGACTATTGATTGGACAAAGTCATATCAAATCAGACTATTGATTGGACAAAGTCAAATCAAATCTGATTATTGATTGGACAAAGTCATATCAAATCAGACTATTGATTGGACAAAATCATATCAACTAAGACTATTGATTGGACAAAATCATATCAAATAAGACTATTGATTGGACAAAGTCATATCAAATCAGACTATTGATTGGACAAAGTCATATCAAATCTGACTATTGATTGGACAAAGTCATATCAAATCAGACTATTGATTGGACAAAGTCATATCAAATCAGACTATTGATTGGACAAAGTCAAATCAAATCTGACTATTGATTGGACAATGTCAAATCAAATCTGACTATTGATTGGACAAAGTCAAATCAAATCTGATTATTGATTGGACAAAGTCATATCAAATTTGAATATTGATTGGACAAAGTCATGTCACATTTCACTATTTATTGGACAAAATAATATCAGATCAACTATTGATTTGAGAAAAGTTTGAAAGTTCAAAACTCCTAGATAACTAGCTGACACCTACCTTGGTGTTGGGTTTTATGGCTTGTTTAAAAATCTCCGGATCATCTGTGACTGGTATAAATGTAATCTCTGTTTTTAATTTTGCTGCAACAGTTTTCAGTAACAGCACAGTGCCACCGTATATACTATCAAAGCTTACAATGTGGTCACCGGACTCCAGCAACTGTGTAATGGTGAAAATAGTTGCCATACCAGAAGAGAAGACAAAACCTAAAAGATAAGTCGATATGCAAATGAATTCATCTTTTCGTAATGTAAATGGTGAATGATATTTCACCATTGAATTGAAATTTTGATTAGCAATTCCCTGTCATTAAAAAAGAGGGCGCTGTTCATTGAAGAGGGGTATTGGAATTCAATTCCAATACTCACTGTTGCAGATGTGTCACAAATAAAGTGATTGGTACAATACTTTTATTTGGAGAGGTACCTCTAATAGAAAAATTATGGTACTAGTATTCTATTTTCATATGCAAGTTATTAATAGATAGTATATGATGTCTTGGTCAAGATTCCCTTACACAACATGGAGTGGGGGTGCACGGGGGGGGGGGTGTCGCACCTCCAAAATCAAGCTGAAACCCTTTTGTGTTAGCAAAATGTGCCCCTCAAAATTCAGGAAATAGCGTTTCAGTGAGTCTAGATTTGCAAATTTTTAAGGGGGAGCATGCCACCGGACCCCCTAGTAAGGTCGCGCCTTTGGCACAAGGTTGGTGAGCAGGTCTCACCCGCTCATGCGAAATTGCATGCCGTCGCCTCTGGTATGTCAGTCTAAATCCTCTTATTTGTGACTGATAATACATGTAATATACATCAAAGTAAGGGTACAAACATCTTTGGTGAGTTGAAGGTATAGAAATGAATTGAATAGCATTTACAAATATTTATCTTTAAACAAGTGACCTGACAAGTGTCGAAATTGTTCAACTTTTCAGCTTTGGTTATGAGTAACTCTCACAATATATAGTTGTTGCACCATAAATTAGAGAGAAAAATAGGTCAAACAGATTTACAATAAATGTTAGTGCTTTAAATAATGACAAGGGTACAATATAAGGGTATGATAACCCCATGAAATGAACTGCATTTTGACCCCTTACAGTGTGGTGACCTGATTGCATGTCGTTAAAAAAGTCTTGTATCGATTTGGAGGAATGTAGCGAAATATATCAGGTGATCTGATATTCACGTTCTTGTCGAAAGCAGCTGTGGGAGTCAGGTCTGATGGACGATAATCTTATATTGAAGGGGCATGTCATATTGTTCTCCGGTGGGTTGGTTTAGCTCAGTATTTATTATCAGGTTAAATTTTCTAAAAATTGCGGTAAACATTACAAGAATCTGTCACGCTGAGTAAATCACGTGTCGAAGTGTGAATTTAATACGGAGTGATTGCCAAACAATGTGATCGCCGTTTGCCTGCACAATTGTTTTTTTTTTCATGAAAACTCCTACACCTACCGTATTTGGCTTTCTCCACTGCGGCCAGCGCCGCTTCAAAGCAACTTCTTGTTGGGTTACCGATGCGATTATAGACGTAAGACTGGAATGAACAAAACATGAAAGTTAAAAAAACATGACTGCACCCCCTCCCCTTCAACAGTAGTAGTTGCCCTCACTTCCCGAGATATACGGGGACAAGGTGCAAACGAAAGAATGTAATGGTCTCACATCTGACGCGCCGCTTGGTTCTTGGAGTCTATAAGTTGTGGACAACGTAATCGGGGGAACCACGGCTGCACCAGTGTTCCACACTTCGGGACTCTGACCAGCATGCACAGTCAGAGTCGCCATCCCTTTGCACAGTTCTTCGGAACAAGTTGATTCCGCCATCAATAAAATGTGTATATTGTGCACGGAAGAGAGGGAGATAGAGATTACGAATATACCCGGCGTATATAGTAGAGGGCGTTGTCGACGTTTGTCATTCTTGGAGACATAGGCAGATTGCATATGTGTGTGGGTGCATAAAGAAACAAACACGCCAAATGCCGGTGCTTGGAGATGGAACTGTCATATTCGCGGCGCTAATGAACCTAATAATTAAATTAACTGCAGAGTTGGTCACATTTAGGAAACATGATTGTTACAATATACTTGGGTAGTATTTAAACTGAGTGTTTATTGATACGTGTATCATCTTGTACATTTAATTGACTGTAATATTTTTACGATTTTTTTTTCACATTTGTCAGCCGCTTCTCCAGCGATACCATATAGTATGTTATCTCTTCTTTAATAATAATCTTTTGTTCGTTTCGTCCTCTGAAATGTCCAAATAAACTGTAATTGCAGAAATGTAAAGTGGCCATTTATGGATTTACCCCTTTCTATCGTAGTTGGCGTAATTCGAGTTGAGGATGCGACAGGAAGAAGTAAACCTAAATCCTTATTGCCTAGCAACACATTCGCTCGTTACCTAAACCTAAAACGATGTATGTTTTATTAATTATACATTTTAGTCATAGCATGTTTATAGTGACATTTCTAAAGAGCGACTTTACTTACCACGAATCTACAACAGTGTTGTGAACAAAGTGGTGTGTTCGGGGAACTTTGCCTCGCTTAGCTGATAACACTTACACGTAGAGATACCAGTGTCGTACCCCAAAGGAATACACATTAGTTAATTACAGATAGTCCAGTTCTTTATTCATCCAGTCGTCAGCTGAGGTCATTCTCTCCTTCTTCTCCTATCACAAAACTCTAAGAGGTGACAGAGTAAAAGCGATCAACCAATCGCTGCAGTCGTTGGCATGATTAACGGTTAAAGCATTGCGAAATTGCCACTGAATACAATTAGCAAGCAATCTATTTATAAAATTCCTGTAATATATGATTATAATGTCTCTTTTAAACATGCAAGTTGTTGATTCTAAATAATACTGTAACGTCGTGTGAACCAAATGTTCGTACCTGATGATGTCAATACGAGGTCAGCGTCAGCTGAGGTCTTTCCCTCCTTCTTCTCTTACAAAATATTACAATCTCTTTCATATAATAAATATTCAGCACAATTTCTTACAGTATGCGGATTATTGTTGGTCATTAAATTAAGGTCAAGTTATGTTGTAGACGAGGCTGCTTAGTGTATTGATATTTGGAATATAGCGCTGGCTCAAACCCATCGGAGCCGGGGCAGACAAGTCAGCCAATGTGCGCCGATATTTTACTATTCTAACTAAACGAAGGGATTACATAGTGGAACAACTAAGTTCCCGTCCTACTGTTGCCTGGATTAATTATTGGGCAGGTGAAGCAAACATTTACCAAATTTAATGTGGTCAGTTTCAACAGCATGCGACTCAGAATGACCCCCCCCCCCCAAATCTCTTCTTTCGTATTGCATTATTGAAACAATTTGTACCCTGATCCGCTAGATTTCGTTGACACATTTTAATAGATGCGTTACGTAGAAAGTTATAACAGTTACTAAAATCCAAGTATTCATTTGCTGCCATGAATAATACATTCATCTTGATATGCTTTATTAAGTAAAGATTTATTGCTACAATCTTTAAATATATACCAGTATTTTACAATATTTCGTAAGAAAAGATGAAAAGAGGGAACGGCCTAGTTTGCTCAGGCATACAAGATTAAATGTATTTTTATTGACTCCAAGAATATTGTTTACAGACGATGAAATGAAATAATTCAATGATTGTCTGAATAAAATAATTCGTTGGTGAATATTTTATTTCATAACGATAGTTTTTGAAAATGAACTTGTTCCCAAATCTTTGAACCACGTTTAAGGTTCGCTTCTATTAAAACATGAAAAAATTATAACAGTAACATTAAAACAAATTGTTGTGTGATGATTCACATACATGCACCGTGACGTCATTCATATTTAACATTTTTACGGAGCAAGAAGGAGGTGTTTCCAAGAAAACATTTTCTATAGGTTTCCATGTAAACACATTATTCCACGGAAAACTTATACTAATATACAGAATTCTCTCATTTTTCGTGAAAGTAATATTTAGCACTCATAACACTACATATCATTTGATAGCACAGGTCACCGAATATACTTTCGACGTATGGTGAAATGTTTTTGCCATAGCAACCAATTGTAAACATTTTTGATAAAAAAACTTATTACGGTGACTATATATTTTTATTTCAGAATTGTGAACATTACAGTAACCTGACCTCTTTTGCTAGATTTTAAAGATTCTAGAATATTGTTTAATGTTAACAAACGACCTTAACAATCATATCGAACAGATGCAATAGCAGAAGAATTGGTGGGCCATTCCAAGTATTGAAATGTTTTGAGAGACTAAACAAAAGCTCTCTTGGCTTTAATATAAGATATTGTTTTATAGTGTCAAAGTTACCTGAATAAGTTAGAGTTATGTCAAGATATAAGATGAAATTAAAAGAGGAGTATTTGAGTGTTGAATTCTTATAATGGAAAGTCGTGATTTTAGTGCAATGCAATGCGACAATGACGCCGTTTTAAAGGTATGTCCCTTTCCAACTGAACTTTCTGCGTCCGTCCCTACTGTCTAAAGCGTTCGTAAAGTCAACAAAGCAAGTGAACGCGTGTATATTATTAAATTGATTTATGAAACATCAAAATGCAAAAATGTGGTCGAATGGGCGACAAACGTTTGAGAGCTTTTCTGTTCAGACTTGAGGATGGTATTTTCGGTAATACATTTTTTCATATAAATAATAAATCACTTTCCATGTCAACTATTAATAGTAATATATCGATAATGATTCTAAAAGAACTGTCAAACCAGATTTTATCATAGTGCTAGGAATGCTTTCATCACCAAATAATTTACATGTTTTTTTTTAAAGATTTTACAGAGTTCATAATCTTAGTAAAAAAGAAATTCCGAGTGTATCACTAAGATGAATTCAATTTAAAAGGTTAACAGGGTTTGAATTTTTAGAACTCTCGGGTTGGCAAATACGGCATACACACATATATATTATATGGTAGATTAAAAACAATTATCTATCTGATTAAGTATTTATTTTTGTTATTAGGTAATTAACGAAACGCCTGACAATGTCAATTTTGCACTTAGTAAACCGAGGTTACAAACAATTTAGAGCAGCGTTAAAATAACAGTTGTTGAAGATTTCAAGAAAAAGATTTCAAGAACACAATAATTTCGATAACACACTGCGTCCAGATATCAAGAACCTAAAATTGTTGAAAAACTATGGAGCCACGAGACATCTTTTGAATCGAATGTAACATGTCAGTGGCGGTACACTATATGTTTTATTTATATTTTGTGGTCAGCACAAGCTGCTTCTGGGCAAAATCCCAGGGATTGTGTTCTGGGGTAGCGAAAAATCCTTATAGGGATTAACGTTCGATTAACAATCGAAAAAAAGTCTACACAGATACAGTTAAACAAACCTACAAGCGAATAGCAGGAAAAGAAGAAGAAGACACAAGTGAAAATATTACAACTAAAACAAACAAAAAATACCATCTCCCCTCCCTGAGCTTATCATGGTATATCCCTTAATTCTATTTTGGCTAACGATTGCGTTGTGCTGAGTATAGTTTGACCTATTTAGACGGAGACACTGGGTGATTTATTAACAAAAGCGGTATAAAATAAGCAGGTGGCCCATGGTAGCTGTTATTTTGCTCGTCGAAGTCGCCGCAGCATTGAAGTTTAATTCTCACTTGTCTAGAGGAGCCTTTTTAAGCCGCCTATTTTCACTTTCATTGACACCAAACATGGCCGAAAAGCAAACGACGTTCCCACATTTCGCTACCCAGGCGATACACGTGGGCCAGGAACCCGAACAGTGGAAGTCTTTAGCCGTAGTGCCAAAAATTTCACTGGCAACTACTTTCAAGCAAGAATCCCCTGGAGTGCACTCTGTAAGTATATTGTGCTGTGTCATCACACCATCGACCGAAATCACACGTGTCATGGTCTTACGCATTTTGTCGATAGCATACGTTGTACCAGAGACGTATGTGGTACATTGTAGTACTCCATGGTTGTACGAACTTGACAATTAGTTATATTGTCACCATTAATATAGTGGTCGTTGCATCGGATTCATGACTTGTGAAGTTTAAATCGAACCTGTGTTGAGCGTCAGGCTGCCCCAGATCTGGTATAGAATAAAACAACGAATAGTAGTAATAATTAATTAAAAAATAATATTTAAATAAATAAGAATATTAATCAAATAATTAATTTGATATCCTTGACCTTTATTTGTGATCCTCAATATTTAAAAAAAAAATGGTAACGTAAAAAATATTATGCTATTATATATCCCAAATCGCAAGTCATCGTGGTGTGGAAAAATCTAAACGTAAGTGCCCTTTGCACGGAGTCCATGAATTAACGAAAGAAAACATGAAATTTAAAATGCTGGTCATGCTCAGATAAAAACAAATTGTCATGTGAGGATGATAGGTGTGTGAAAGGTGTGCCAAAGTACAGTTGTTTTATTGGTTGATTGGGTATCGTAGATGACACATTTAGATACCAGAACATTAATAATTAACACATTTGAAGAGATACAGTGCAGAGCACAAACCTGTGTTTATATTTCTAAATATTTATGAATAAAACAGTTTTCATTTGTCTAGATTGGGACCTCTGTTCAACAAATCACTTGGGGGGGCCCCCCCAAAAGTTTTGCTTTGGATTATCGTGTGTCAGTTTGAATTTGTGTTACATTCATTTCATACTGTGCTTTTTACTAAGCTGCTGTTCCATTTGATAAAAGATTCATGAACATTTTGGCAATCCCCAAAAATTCTCAAATTTAATGTGCTACCGGTAATATACATTGATGCCAAAGATAGACAACTTTTTACGTCAGTGTTCTGTGGTTCTGAATAATATTTTAAGTATGTTTAACATTTTTTCAGGGAAAAAAACAATGTAAAAAATGTAATCATGTATCAATAGTGCAACAAAAAAATGCTGAAAAAAATAATTCAAAATAGCCACTTCCAGTTTAACTTCTATCCAAGGTGGCTGTGGAACCATCTGATCAAACAAAATTCTGAATATCTGGACCGAAAATCAACCATATTCGCGTGTATGCGTAAGAGTGGACATTCTTGCGTGTGTTCTCACATAACACCGTACTATTCAGGAGTATGTAAGAATAACTGTTTTTGAGCACGATCCAAACAAACAATAGGCATTTTTATGCGTGTTCTCACATAACGCTAAAGATCATTCATGAGTATGCTTTTCCTATGCATGAATAGAGAAGGGTCTAAAGTGATTTGGATTATAAAAAAAACTAGGCAAAACAAATATTGCTTTCAATATTTGTAAGAGTATTCCAATTTTGCAAAAAAACCCCGCATGGAGTACCATTCTCTGGCACCTGTTGTAACCCTTATTACCAGTACCTGTATTCTTGTACTTTCTGTACACCACTGCAACTGACCTATATGATATATTCTAATATTTCATCATTTTTGCCCCATATTCTGTAAACCAGACAGGTGCTGGATGCACATATAACCTAATATTTTCATATGATTATCGCTTGTATTTCTCGTACACTGATAATCCTGGATGAATATAGCTGGTACTATTACTAGTGAAATAGCCGGTAGCAGGTCAAAATAATTATATATATCAATAGTTTGAAGGTAAATTTAGGAGAATGTCACAAAATGAACATTCAATATACTGAGTGCATCACCGCACCGTCACTTGTCAACCTTTTTGTGAATTAATTAATCATTGTTAAACTGAGATACCCGGTACAAAATTTAGGAAAAAGTTAAATATTTGAAATGAAAATATTTTCGGAAATCTGATCCATTTCTCTCTAAAAATGACTCTGACCTGTCACTGGATTTTGAGCCATTAGTTTGTATGGTGGTTACTTGTAGTACATCAGATGTACCGGCATACAGTGTTGTGGTGGTGACAAATTTTCGCTGATGTCACTTATTTTCGGTGAAAGTATGCAAACTTGTGGAATCAGTGTACCACTGTAGTCAGGATACTTTTTTTGGAATTGGTTGATTTATTTAAATGTATTATCGCTATGGATGTCGCTTATTCTTATATAACTTGTATGTACTCAGGTTCAGGCAATCATTTTGCTGGTGGAAATGGTCATAATGTCGACAGTTCACAGATACTAAATATTTTGTCTATAAGCGCACAAAATAATCACATTCCCACATATGGCTTTATTGAAAAATAAGGGAAAATTTTTATTTTATTCAAAATATTGGGAACTTGTATTCGTTTACAATCCAAAAATATTTCCAACCATATTCATATAGTTCTGATATCAGTCAGAATATAGGAATACGTTATTTGTGAAAAGCATATTCCCCAGTATGCTGTCATACTATGCTAAAACATGTATAACATGGTGTACATTTGTATGTATATAATAATGTCTCTTATTTTTTGATAATGATTCAAACTCAATCTTTTCTTCTGTTTATTCAGCCATTGACCAATTTAATTGTTGTTCAGTTAATGGGATTATGGTAATACCTTTTGGGGACAATGGGTGGCTTGACATCTGTCTGGATCAGCAACTCTCTGAGATGATATATGGATATTTGCATTCATATGATCCTTGTACCTGCAATATGTGACCCAAATGTCACATGATTTGTTACTGTATGAAATGGACAAAAAAAAGCATGGCCGTAGACAACTAGTTACAATGCGTACAATTTAAGAAGGTTTGAGACAAATTGAGGAGTACATGTACATATAATTTTTTCTGTATTAAGAATTAATACCATTTGAGGACAGAAAATATCAAAAACGTCACTGGATTATTTTTCGAAAAAAAAAAAAAAAAAAAGGCAGTATTTCCATTTTATCTTAGTTTGTGCATTGTTTCTATGGAGTAGATATTTCTACTTGTCACAAATTTTGCTTGATGATTCGTGTAGGAGACAAAAAAAAATCGTATATTGTTATTTATATGAATTTAAAAAAAATATATTTAATAGTGAGTTTCATGAACAATAATGGTTTTCAATTGGAGATATTTACTTCAATGCAATGTAAATATATTCAGTAACATTTGAATTTGTTTCTAACTCCGTAAGAAATTACTAATTCTTGATATGTTATAGTGTGAGAAATTTACACAGAGCAATTAAGTGGTTTCGTCTGACTTTCAAATAACCAGTGTCAGAAGGGTTTTAGCATACAGTGTCAGGGTTATTTCTAGAAAAGCAAAACAAAACACACAGGTGATCAACCTGGAAACGCAATATTGGAAGGTTTTTTGCGCCGTTTTATCGGTGTATCTATTGCCATTGAAATAATTTTGGAGTCATTTTAGTGTATTTGGTGTCCAGATACATTGTCAGCTGGTGTTGCTGGGAAGTTTTTGAGAAAGATTTCATGTTGTATTGCAGCACAGAAGTGTGCGGCTCAAGAAATATATTTATGACTTGAAAGTTCAATCGTCAATTCAGTAAGAGGGCGCCAGCCAAGAGTATCAGGGCGCTGCGCCCCTGTAACCCGGGCTAGAAAAACACCTGCAGTGCTGTGTTATGATTGCTTGCAAAATCATCAATAGTGTTTGTCTTTCAAATATTTACATTTGTCACTACAGGGGTGTGACTACCGAGAGACCCTCTAAAATTTGATGGCCAAAATAAATATTTGTATAGTCGGGCCAAAGATTTAGCAGTTTCTTTCAAAATTGTTAAGAGAAAAATTGTTAAATTATTGATGAAATGATTAAAAAATACTGTTGACACTATGGGCATAGCATTGCTGTATATTTTCAATGCCACTTCCTCAGTTAAAAAATGCATCTCTTTTTTTGGTTTCATATTTACTGCCCGTTTATGTGAATTACCATCTAATTAGAAATTGTTTGCACTATGTTAGACACAGCACCAGATACCTATCAAGCGTTTGGATACTAAATATATTATAAATTGAAAACATTCAGAGATTTGTATGAAACACCACTGGCTGAGATTAATTCACTTTGTCAGAAGCAAAGTTTTGGAGGGACCTCAGATAAGATGCTAGATTTTCACTGTTTCTTGTTAAATTTTGTGCACTAGAAATGGCACAGTGACAATGACCTAGGCAGAAATAATAACACACGTTTTTGTGGTAAGACATGATTGGACAAAAAACAACTTGCTTGTATTGGGAGATGCTGTTTGCTATGTCTATCGTAATAATACTTGTATATCAACCGGTTAATCACCAAATTAACTCTGTACCCACCTGAAATATATACATGTATTACAACTACAATAACTATAAAATACTCTATTTTAGCTGCAATAAATTTTTGCTGAAATAGCTTTTTGTGTGTTTTGTAGAAAGCTAATTTTCACTGATCTTTGATGAGTTGAATGTAAAACATAGAAAAAAAGGTATATTTGCTAGATTTCAAAACAAAATCATTAAAATATTACTTATTTTGACCATGGGAATATCTCCTGTCATAGAAAATGGCATGTGCTACTAATTGAGAAAATATTGTATGTGCAAAGTTAATCATGGAGTTATTGTTTCGCCCAAATCAGTGAATTTTTTAACATTGAATTTGCCTAAATAAATTGAACCCAGTGAATATTTGCGCTACATTATTTGAATTGTTTCCTTTCCAGGGATTTGAATATGGACGAAGTGGAAACCCGACTAGGAGCTGCTTTGAAACGTGTGTGGCAGCACTGGAAGGGGGAAAACACTGTGAGTCAACCCCCTACCACCAATGTCAACTTTTGTTATCTTCCATAAAATAGTTATGTTCTGTCTGTGCATATTAATTAGGTAATTTGCATATTAACCCTTTTCGCCAACTTTTGTCACTTTCCATAAAATAGCCATGTCCTGTCTGTGCATATTAATTAGGTAATTTGCATATTAACCTTTTTTGCCAATTTTTGTCACCTTACATAAAATAGCCATGTCCTGTCTGTGCATGTTAATTAGGTTATTTACATATTAACCTGTTTTACATTTTTTTTTTGGCACATTGAAGAGTGGTAGGTCCTATATTAAACTTGTACCTAGGTTTGAAGACCACTCACAGGCTGAGAACTAGCATTTTTACAACGAACACAAAACTTTCAAAATGTCTACTGTAAGGGTTACCGGTCTCCAAGTTATCAAAGCATTGTTTTTGAAATTAAATTTGTTTCCATGTTTCTCACTTTTATCTTTTTTCACCAATGTTGTGCACTTGTGAGACAGCTGCTTTAGATGTTAAATCTCTTCCACCCCTACTATTACTTCAAAAGAGCTGCATTCAGCTGATAACTCATTGCTAATGTTCCTGTTTCTCCAATTTAGGCATGTCGTTCTCATCAGGCTTAGCGGCCACCACGTCTTTAACCCACTTACTTAGTGCTGGTGACCATATATTGTGTATTGATGACGTTTATGGAGGCACTAACAGATACTTCCAGCAATGTGCCAAGAAAATGAACATCGAAACCAGTTTTGTGGACTGTACAGTAATCGATAACGTCAAGCAGGCTGTCAAACCGAACACTAAGGTAAGAATAGGATGTTGCAGGAAGAGTAATTTTTGGTTCGAGAAACAAACCGTAAACGACTTAGTTTACCCATAGACACTAAAATAAGCGTCTATGTTTTACCATAGTAAAGCAACAAACTAATCAAATTTGAAAATGTCAGAAAGAAAATGCTGCCAAAATTAGTGAAATTGCATCATCAATTATTATATCTTAGACGGTATCAACCCCTTTTTGAATATGTGAGCACACATAATGTATACCATATATCACAACATTTTGAAGCAGCAATCCATAAAATCTTCAACTCACGAAAATTTCTAGCAGTATAAATTAATCGATTTACAGTAATTGAGCTAATTGGATGGAAATGACAGTCACTTTTTATTTCAATTGATCTCTATTAATCTATTTCTTAGATGGTATGGATTGAAACACCGACCAATCCGTTGATGAAGTTGGCTGACATAAAAGCCATCAGTGATGTCATCCATGAAAATCACGAAGGTGTATTTATAGTTGTTGACAACACGTTCGCTTCTCCGTATTTCCAGGTAAGGACAGTTGTTTATTTTCTGAATGTAGCCAGATGACATGATCTGGCCTGGTTTGAAGCTGCTCAAGCATGGCAATATTCAAAAAATTCAATATTAAAATTTATATATAACAAAATCTGTAATTCAAAAAGGCCTCTTTCTCTGTCATAAAATGTCTTCCTTCTTCTTTGAAAGCACACAACAGATCATTTTGAGAGGTCGTAGGTCATTTTGAGATGTCGTAAGTCATTTTGACAGGTCATAGGTCATTTTGACAGGTCGTAGGTCATTTTGACAGGTCGTAGGTCATTTTGACAGGTCATAGGTCATTTTGACAGGTCATGGTTCATTATGCTCTCAAGCAGCTACTATAGTAAACTTACTTCGCTAAAGCATCTTGTAATTGAATTTGTCAGAATCATTCATAACCATCAAAATTAGTCGTAACTACTGACATGTTGTAACCGCTGTCCTGTCGTTGTAACCGCTGTTCTGTTGTTTTAGCCGTCCTGCTGTTGTAACTGTCATAGCTGTTGGCATGTTAATATAAAACCATTTGATCTGAATGCTCTTGACAGATTTCTGTTATGTTTTTACAGAGGCCATTAGAACTTGGTGCTGATGTAGTATTGCATTCAGTATCTAAGTACATCAATGGACATAGTGATGTCATAATGGGATTGGTTGTTACTAGTGATGAAGATCTACATAAAAGACTACGCTTTTTACAAAATGGTGAGTTTATAAAGGAATTTTGATGTGATGTCATAGTGATGTCACAATAAATTTGGTTGTTACCGTAAAATTCCTTTTTGAGGCCGCAGCTTTAATAGAAGCCGCACCCCTAACTTGAGACATTGTTTCATGTTGAAATTGACAAGTTTTGATCCCAGGGAAAAGTCTGCAATATAAGCCGCACCCCAAACTTTCACAAACCAAACAGCCACCACATATTTCAGAAAAAGATATACCATTTAAATATAAATTGAGGCATA